TTATGTATTTTATTTATTACAAAAATATATAAATACATACATACATTACATAAATATACATACATACTATTATCTACATATATTACATAAATCAGATTACGTTACAGAAGAACACACAGATTTTCCAGCATGACAAGGCGAAGTCACTATGAAACACACCATGAAGCGTACTGGAAAGGCAACTGGCAAGCCTTCAGGGAGGGATGTAAGAGGGGGTAGAGGGAAAGCTGTAAGTCCTGCCCTCCCCCCCCAACAACTGAGACGTAGCCTCTTTCCTACAACTAGCAGGCAGGAGGCTTCCAGTTCTACAGGCAGCAAGGAAAGGGGAGCAGTGCCATTTCTTGTGCCTGAGTCTGCATCCCCTCCAACAGCAATAGCCATAACCCCCACTTCCCATCACCACCACCATGACAACAAGCAGCAGCACCAGCAGCATTCTCCTCTACCCCCATTTCACTTCCCAAGCTGAGCCTTCCAGTGCCAGAGGAAGAGCTGAAGGAGGATCTGGATCTGAGTACCATATTAAGGGAAATTCTGGGGAAAGAGGTGGAGTCCATTGAGTTTGCGCTCCACACCTCAAGTTTCCCCAAGAGCTAGGTCTCTTTCCTCAGAAGGCTCTTCAGAGGAGGTTGAGGTAGAGCTTGTGGAGGCAAGTGACTCAGCTGAGTCCACTCCTCCTATTGCTGTGCCTCTGCCTGCTGAGGAGAGGCAAAAGGCAACATCCACACATGCACCCGCACCCCAGAAGTGAGGAGGTTGCATGGTCTGGGATCATTTTGAACTGCCAGATGATCCCACATACACTATCTTCCTGCACTGCTGAGCCAAAACCAGCCAGGGCCAGGGACAAAACACATGAGCACCACAGGGATGCTGATGCATCTCCACAGGCACCACCCCCTTTCCCTTGCTCCTCCTCAGCCTGGCACCCATGGAAGCAAGCCAAAAAAGAAGGCCCCCTCTCACTCTAAAGCCTCTGTCCCCTCAAAGCACCACCTGGAACACTGGAAAATAAGCAGACAGAAAGGGAGGCATGTTGCAAAGGCAAGCGAGATCACCCAGAGCATTTGGAAAGTACTTGCTGTGGATGGTCAGCCTTCTCCTTAGTTGAGCACCCAGGGTTCAGTTAGCTCATGGTGCTCAGGGACCCATTATACCAAGTGGCGGAAGCACCACCTTCAGCAGGATGGTGGTGCCCTCCCTGTATG